ATCCATATCATCATCCCCAGGGCTGAAAGACCATGCATACCGATGACCAGGGGAGTGGTCAGCTCTGATACCACTAGGAAGTCCAGCTTGATACGAGAGCTAATGGTCAGCACCGTGAGTTGGACAGCTTGAGTGGCGAAGAAGGTTTGTTTGTTGGCCACGCGAAAAGGCTTCGGAGATGGTAATGTCACCACTCGTCCCAGACGATTGGCCACCGAAAGCTGAGCGAAGTTACAGCTGGCACCCGTATCCAACAGACAGGCCACTGATACCGGATTCTCATGACCCATCTCAGGTACCACCTTGATAGAAGAACAGAGAGCACCAGGACCAGCAGGAGCTGGTGTATCAATACACCCCAAAGACTCAGCTGGCTCGTACATATCAACCGTTATACCAGGCACCAAAGAGGCTGCATCAGCAAGCAGCGTAGCATTAGACTGAACGGAGACCTTGCGGGGCTTCTCGGCAGGGCATATGAAAGCAAGATGGCCAGCTTGCAAACAGCGACCGCAAGGAATACCAGCCGCAACTATGCGGTTGCCACACTGCTCAGTCTTGTGACGGTGAAGTCCACACTTGCGGCAACGCTTGTCGATTTCAGTCGGGGAAGAGGCTGGGCAGTCGTTGAAAGAATGACCACCTGTTTGATCACGACAACGATAGCAAGTGAGTTTTGGCCTCTTCTGGCCAGGAGCATTGCCAGGACGCCGTTGGCCTTTAGGACCACCATCAATGGCAACGCTAGATGACTTGTCACCGACAGCCGTAGTTGCCGCGAGGACTTGAGGCGAACTTACCGAGGCCGAAGGCACCGAAGTAGGGGGCAAACCAGGGTGAACAGCAGGAGGAGTACTCTGAGACCAGGTAGTCTCGTGAACAGTAGCCACGGAAGGGAGAGTATTAGCTGACGGGCCGGAAGTGCACACTGCCGTAGAGCATGAGGTGAGCTTCTTAACATACCGACCGTGCTTATCCAGGACCCAATGTCCTGGCTTCAAAGTGCTCCATCCCGTTCCAATGCCGTGGTTAACGCAATGGACCCGCACTCGACGTTGGAACTCGTTCTCGTCCAGCATTAGAGAGAGGTGGTCGGATGCCCAGGCACGCACTCCTGATGGCAGAGCCGCGAGCAAGCGGCCATTGGCCTGTGATACCGGAAGTAGATGGCCACGTCGTCGGAGCTGAGCTAGTAAGGTGGTGAACTCTTCCTCAAAAAGTTGGTAGGTAGGGAAGTCAGCAGCATTGAGGATATACCACCGATTAAGGACAGAACTATCGTCGTTACCCTGCACCGACGTGTAGATCGATCGCAAAGCGGCCACTGCTGCTTCATACTGACGACCATGGGGGATATTACCAATAGCACCGTAGGTAGACTCCAACTTCAGGCTTAGTTGAAGGGCAACATGGGTACCCAAGTTCTCGAAGAGGTAAATAAACCTAAAGCTGTCCGTTCCCAAT